GAGGGCATTGTGGGCAGTGGAGGCGAGTGCGGTGGGTGTAGGTTGGTGCTCCAGGCACTGGTTCGCCAGTCTCTGTGCGATGGATTCGCAAGTGACCGACCAGGCCGATGTGTGAGGTGAAGGTGCGGTCACAGTGAGGGCAAGTGTAGTCCTGATCCTCATCAGTGGGATCGGGAGAGGTGGGAGAGGTGATGTCGGTTGTTGTGTTGGGGTTGGTGATATGTGAGACAACAGTCTGAACGGCCGCCGCTGGGGCAGTGGAGAGGGAGGAGGACGACGAGGACGAGGAGGATGGAAGTGGTGGTGCAGAAGGAGTGTCAGAGTTAGTTGGCGGCAGAGAGGGCGAGGAAGAGGCGGGCTGGGGGACGATGGCTGGAGCAGTTCGAGAGGTGCAGTTGGTTCGAAGATGTCCAACAAGTCCGATTCGTGCCCGGAATGTCCGTTGACATCGAGGACACATAGGGAGCGGTTGTGCGGCGGCGTTGCGTATTGGGCGAAGTTGTGATTTGCGGGCTTCGCGTTTCGCTTTGGCGGCGGCGATGCGGTTGGCTTCGTAGATAGCAGCGCCCGTCTTCACTGTTCTCCTCCATGTCGGACGATCGCGGGCGAGCTCTTCCCAGTTGGTTGGGTTGATTTGCAGGCGCTTCAGGGAGGACTTCAGAGTGTCCTTGTAACGGCGAATTTGGCCTCCTTGACGACGAGAACCCGTCGCGACGTCTCCGTAGAAGAGTCGTTTGGGTAGTCGCTCGTCGTCCATGCGCACCAGGTGGCCGCTCCAGCGAAGCTGCATTTGTCTCAACATGGAGTAGATGCTCAGAATTCCCGTCCGTTCCAGCACTTCGGTGTCGGGGATGCGGTCCTGCCAGTTCAGCCTCAGGATGCGGCGGAGAAAGCTGAGGTGGAAGTGGTTTAGTCGACGTGCCTGCCTCGTGTACACCGTCCAGGTCTCCGCTCCGTACAGTAGCGTCGGCAGGATGACGGCCTTGTACATCTTCAGCTTTGTGTTCAGTTGGAGACCATGACGATTTCAAACTGTGCTTCGGAGGCGTCCGAAGGCTTGACTGGCTTTCGAGATCCTGTTGGCGACTTCGTCGTCGATCTTGGTGTTGCGGGAGAGGGTACTGCCCAGATACGGGAAGTTCTCCACCACTTGCAGTTGAGTCCCATTCACGTTGATTTGCGGCGCTTTGGGGGCTGTGGCTGAGTTGGGAGGCGGCTGATGCATCACCACCGTCTTCTGCGTGTTGATAACCAGCCCAAAGTTCTCGCAGGCGGCGGAGAATAGGTCCACGCTCCGTTGCATCTCCTCTTCCGAGGTGGTGTTCAGGGCGCAGTCGTCGGCGAAGAGGAGTTCGTTCACGGTGGCTGTGGATACACGCGATTGGAAGTTCATGCGCCGGTGATTCAGGAGATGACCGTCCGTTCTATAGGCGATGCGGATTCCAGGGCGTTCGTCGCGGTAGGCGTCCATCAGCATGGCAGAGAACATGAGACTGAAGAGGGTAGGCGCCAGCACACAGCCCTGCTTCACTCCGTTGGTCCCTGCGAATGTCTCTGAGACAGCTCCGTTGTCCGTGACTCGCGCCATCATACCGTCGTGCAGCTGACGCACCATCTGAGTGAATCGCTCCGGGCAGCCGAATTTCTGCATGATCTTCCACAGTCCTTCACGATTCACCGTGTCGAAGGCTTTCGTCAGGTCCACGAAGGTAGAGTACAGGTGGGTCAGCATCTCCTGGCACTTCTCCTGAAGTTGGCGGGCGGCGAAGATCATATCCGTGGTCCCACGATGACGACGGAAGCCGCATTGGCTTTCCGGCAGAAGGCCCTGTTCCAGATGGTTGTTGAGGCGGTTGAGCAGGATGCGAGCGAAGATCTTCCCGGCAATGTTCAGTAGGGAGATGCCGCGGTGATTGTCGCAGACTTGGCGATTCCCTTTGCGCTTGTATAGGTGCACGATAGTTGCGTCCTTGAAATCTTGCGGGGCTTCACCTTGACGTCACATCCCCTGGAAGAGCGCAGTCAGGTGATCCATCAGTTGGGGACCTCCGTGCTTGTAGACCTTAGCAGGGATTGCGTCCGATCCGGGTGCTTTCCCGCTGGAGAGCTGCTGCACGGCCCTGATGGTCTCCTGGAGAGATGGCGGGAGGTCGAGGTCCACGTTGGTCTCCACTTGCGGCAAGCGGGCGATGGCGGCGTCGGAGATGACGGAGGGGCGGTTGAGGACGCTCCGGAAATGCTCGGCCCATCGCTGTAGGATTTGCGTCTTCTCAGTCAGGAGGGTGCTGCCGTCGGCGCTGAGGAGAGGAGCAGTGCCCTTCGTCGGCGGACCGTAGACAGCTTTGATCGCGGAGAAGAAGTTCTTCCATTCGTTGCGGTCCGCGTAGCCTTGGATCTCCTCAGCTTTGCGAGCAGTCCAGGCGTCCTGCATCTCGCGCAGTCGTTGCTGAAGCTGTCGGCGACTGCGGTAGAAGGCAGCTTTGTTGTCCTCAGTGGGGTGATCTACGTAGTCTTTGTGTAGGCGGTTCTTCTCAGCAAGCAGATCTCTGATGGCGGCGTCGTTGTCGTCGAACCAGTCCTGGTGTTGGCGGAGAGCGCGACCGAGGACGGCTAGTGCCGTCGTCTGGATCGTGTCTCGCAGTTGACACCAGCGGTTCTCCACGGAGGCGTTCTCAACAACGGCGGCGTCGTTGGCGGCGGCGGCGGCGGCGATTGGAAGGTTGTCTAGCCGTTGAGCTAGCTCATTGCTGAAATGAAGACGGTGAGCGAGCAAAGACAACAAAGTGACATTCAGCTTACCTGGGGGTCGCTTACCGTGTGGTCTCCTGCGAGGCTGTAGGCGAACACGCATCTTCGAGATGACGAGGCGATGGTCGGTCCACCCGTCAGCACCCGCGATCGCCTTCGTCACCAGCACGTCCCGCTGCTCTCGCCTCCGGACGAGGACATAGTCCAGCAGGTGCCACTGACGCGACCGAGGATGCCTCCACGTGGCCTTCTCTCGCTCCGGCAGACAGAAGAACGTGTTCGTCAGGATGATGCGGTGTTCTGCGCAGGTGCGGAGAAGCAGCAGACCATTGTCGTTGGAGCCGCGGAGACCGTGAGGACCCAGCACACCTCTCAAGGCAGTATGGTCTGTGCCGACGCGGGCGTTGAAGTCAGCAAGGACAATCAACTTGTCCGCCTTCGACACAGTCGCCAAGAGGGCGTGCAGGTCCTCGTAGAATTTGTCTCTGACGGCGTCGGGGCTGGTCATCGGCGGAGCGTAGACGCTGATGATGGTGGCGAACTTGCCTCCTCGCCGGAGGGGCAGACGGAGGCTCATCAGGCGGTCGTTGATTCCCTGCGGCAAACAGGGCAGTCGTCCCACGATGTCGGTCCGGATGGCGAAGGCGACGCCCGCGTCTCGTCGCTCTGCCCTGGGTCGACCACTCCAGAAGAAGGTGTAACCGGCACCCACCTCCTCCAGTTGGTCTTGTTCGGAGAATCGGGTCTCGCTGAGTGCGGCGATGTCCACCTTGTAGCGCGCCAGTTCTCGTGCCACTAGCGCCGTCCTCCGTTCCGGTCGGTTGCTCCTCGGATTGTCTAAAAGGGAACGAACATTCCAGGCTGCCAGAGTGAGCGGGCTCACCCTGTCAGTCTGGGGAAAACGAGTGGGGCGAAACACACACGAAACACACACACATACAGACAAATACACGTCCCGCTCATCATCCCCTTTAAAAGACATAATAATAATAATAATAATAAGGAGAAGAGGAAGAAGAAGAAGAAGAAGAAGAAGAAGAAAAAGAAA